AGCCTGTGCGCAAGCTTCTGGGTCAGCCTGTGTGCAAGCCTCTGGGTAGCCTGTGTGCAAGCCTGTGGGGCACTTTCTTGGTTGATAACTTATGCAGGAGGTCCCCACATACTATAAGTGGTGCTACCTCTGGGTAGGTGGTCCTGAGGTGTATAGAAAATAAACTGAGCAAACCAATAGGCAGCTCTCCTCCATGGCTTTTGCATCAGTTTCTATCCCAGAACTGATGAACTACAAGCTGTAAGATGAAATAAACCCTTTCCTCCCCAAGTTGTTTTTGGTTACGGTGTTTGATCACAGCAATAGAAACTCCAAGACACCATCCGTGCCTGGCTCACACTATTCTCTAAGATTACTTACATATCTGGTAACCAAGTGACCAAGGACAGTGGCCTCCATGGCTCTGTGAATGTGGGTAGCAACCTGAAGCATGGTATCTGTCTTGGGCAAGGATGTGGCATAGGTAAGGATTTGCAGCCACACAATCTCACCATCCTTAGAAACATGCATGCAACTTCTGAGAGACCATGACCCCAATGCCCTCTCATGTTTCCTTGAAAAAAGTCTAACTTTCTTCATGAGGCACCTCAGCCTGGGAGGACTCCTGAAGTCCTCATTTCCACGCTCACCAGTGAAAACCTTGCAGAGTGTACTTTGGGTGTCACACAGGCTTCCCTACCCCGCTGTGGGCTACCGGTGGAGACAGTGTCCTGTCTACTTGTGAAGCACACTGGGAAAGCGCAAAGCAGCACATATTCAAGGGGTGGCTTGGAAGTAGATCTGGGGACTGCTGCAGCAACCTCCACCAAGACATAACACCCCATCTGCATGGCAGCTCCCTATGCTCAGGAAGTAAAACTCAGGGGTTTTAGGAAGTTCTGGAAACCAATCAGATTCATTATACCCCTGGAGATAGTTTGTGAGCTACTATGCGGTTGCTAGGATTTTAACTCAGGACCTCTGGAAGTCAGTGTCCCTAACCTCTGAGCTATCTTTCCAGCCTCCCTTGTGATAGTTTAAATGTAACTGGCCCCCTTAAGCTCATAGGGAGTGGCACTACTAGGAGGTATGACTTTGTTGGAAGTAGGTATGACGGAAGTGTGTCACTGTGGAGGTGGGCTTTGAGGTCTCGTAGATGCTGAGGACACAGTCTATGTTTCAGACCATTTCCTGTTGCCCGTGGGATCAGGATGTGCTCCTTCTCCACTCTCAGCTCCTTCTCCAGCACCGTGTCTGCCTGCCTGCCACTATGCTATACTCCCTCCATGATGAGAATGGAATAAGCCTCTGAAACTGTAAGGCACAAAATCAAATATTTCCTCTGTAACAGTGTGCCATGGTCATGGCATTTCTTTACAGCAACAGAAACCCAAAGGCATCCCTCTCCCCAGGCATGTCGAAGTAGTAAGGCCTACCAAGAGATAGCACCTGTTGAGCGTACCTGGAAAGAGGTTCAGACCCTACCAATGCCTGAAAGAGCTATACTCTAAAATGTTGAGATGCCTGCAGGTAGAGCAGTGTGCTGTACATTTCCAGCTCTTTCGAGTCGTCACCCAGGCTAGAATGGCTGTGGTACAGCTGTGGAGTCATTGTGCTGCTGTAAATACCACGGCCACTGTTCCTGTAAATAACCCAATAAAACTCATTGGCTCACCCAATGGGGCCTTGATACTATCTTTACTCTGGTCTGTTGTTAGTGTCCTGTGTGGGGTGGGGACATTTGTTCACATCATCCACACAACAGGGTCAAAGTGACAAAAGGGGGTACACAAGCTTGAGGCTTTAGGGAAGGCAGCGAGATGAATGGGACGGTGACTCGAAGACTGCAACCATGGCGGAAGGTGGAGATTCAATCTGAGGACGACGGGGCCTCAGAGGGTAGGGTCTCTCTCACTAACCACTTACTAAATAAATAATACACACCCTACCCTTGTAGGAGTCCACATTCCAGGGTTGGGGATGGACCTGCAGTAACATGTTAGCAGGCAGCTGGGGAGAGAGCACAGTGGCAGAGGCCTCGCCTCACATGTGACACTTGGGATTGATCCTCAGCACTGGAACAACAGAGTTTGGGTATCAGCACTTGTGCTGAATGAAGTCAGATAATTCTAAGGGTTTTGAAAACAAAAGGGGATGGAATGAGGGCGACTGGGAGAAACGTTAAAGGAAGCACGCAGGGAAGGGCTCTCTGAAATGACCCAGAACTGAGGCAGGATAGAGTTACAGGAACATTGCA